TATGAAACAGCATAAAGTCATTTTTCCTTGTCCAAATAACAACAGAAATCTGTTGCCTCCCATTCTAACCTGCATTTGTTTATAGCTCTCTTGCTCTCTCTTCAGAGAGGCATCCGCTTCATGTAGTCTCTCCTGAAGTGTTTGCAGAGCTTGATTGTGTAGGCTACTACCTTCGCTTTGATCCTGTATTATTCTAAAAGAGAATGCATCATGTGAAATAACTCATTTCCACAGCGTACAAGAGATAAGGTAGAATAACTTAGAGCGTCAGCTTGTTAGTCAAGCATAAAAAAGGTGATCTGACTAAAACATTCTTAGAGAAATCTTTTCCCTTTCTAACGGAATGTAATTTATATTTTTAGATATCCAAATTTAAGCACACACTATATATTGAAGATCAATGACATTATTCAAATACTTTTAAATTCAGAATTCGCTAACACTGCATCTCAAGGTTCAAACAATGGATCCATTTTAATCATACACATTTCCAACACTACTGAAACAAATTTTCCCTCTTGTAAATTTCCAAAAAGCTAAATTTTCATAAGATAGGATACACCACAATGCTTACCATTACTTGTACTGGGAGGAGAGAACCATTCTACCTTGCTTTTTTCATTATTAATTGAATTACCTACCGTGATCTTTCAATCTGTAAGGCTTCTAACGCTTCTGTGCGAGTATTCAGTAGCTGGTCAGCTTCCTGGAGTCTCACTTTCAGTACTGCCAGCTGAGAATCCTTTGCAGCCACCGCTTCAGTCAGGTCATCTACTTGCGCTCGGAGTTCTCGAGTTATTCGATTGCTCTTTGAATGGTCAACATTCCACTTTTCAACCCTTGCTCTTGCTTTGTTTAACTCTACAAAAAAATGAAATTTCTCTATACAAGCAAAACCAAACACATCTTTTTCAGAGCACATACAGTTCCTTCGTCGAGTCTTTTTAGTACCTTACTTATTGCCAAAATCAGGAGCTTACGAACATCTTCAATATTTTTTTGTCCCCAAATGGGACATCTATTTTCCAAGCCAATATTCACACCTACATTACAGTTATTAGATTAGAAAGGGGCATGAAGCTAGCTGCTCTTCTACAACGTTGTTTTTTCCTGGAGATACATCATCAAGCATTTGGGAGCCAAAAACCAAATCGAGTTGACAGCACAGTATTAATACCATATCAACTGGGTTTGGGTTTTTGCTCCTAAATGCTTTGTATCTCCAGGAAAAAACAATATTGTAGATGTTATTCTTTTAACCTAGGAAATCAGTGCAAAAAAAGCAATGCAGTGCTCTATTTCAGAATACAATGGCATTTCCACATCCTCATACACCATCTGTAATTGCAGTTTGCCACAAAAAAAATAAAAGTTTTCTCAACACCGAAGTGAACTTTACAGGGTCTCAGGAAAAGTTCAGTTTCTATTGTCTAAATTTAGTCTTGGTAATGTAAAGCTTTTTCTAAGTCAGCCATACTAGTTAGTCTTAAACCATCTTCCTATTCTGCTCTTCTGGACTTCCATCCATGCCTTGGCAAAGCTTTTCCCACTGTTCCCCTACTCCTTTCTAATTAGCCCCAAGGACCAAGGCAGCAAATGTGTCTCTTGTTTTTTCCTCAGCCACACTTAACATTCTCACATTCCCCTGTTACTACCTCAGTTATGAGATTATTTCCTTTTTAATTACCCATTTCAGAGGAATTCGAGGTTTTCCACTCTGGAGCCATCTCATTGCACAATTCCCGAGGGCACTATTCAAAGTGAATTCCATATATATTTAATGCCTTCTGGAACAGCAATTCTATACCCCTACATGTTAGTGTCCACTATTTTGTTTAATCCCACCTTTGGTTAATGGAACAGTCCCCCTTGAAAGTTTAGAATAAATAAACAAACTAGACAATTACTAATGTTTAGTTACTCTCAGTTCTTAAATGTCATGGTTCCTAAAGAATGACCCTAACAAGCCAATATTCTGTTTCAGGTTGGTGGGAGGACCAGTGGTACCATTTCCAAATCTAAGCCCCACATTTCTATGAAAATACCATTTTTTAAGTCTCATCTAAACTATTCCTAATTGTGTAAATGTAAAGGTTTTAGTTTTGAAAGTTAAATTTCTAATCTTGAACAATTTAAATAAGGCTCTACCCTCTTGAGTTTCTTTAGATCTTTGAAGTAATGAGGCCATTTCTTGATTTAAAGACTGAACTTCATTCCTCAGTAATTGATTCTCCAGCCTAAGATTAGATAGTTCATGTGATTTGCCATCATCATTAGGTGTTGGGTTGTGATCAGTGGAGGCAGCATTTGATGATGCAATTTCCTTCGAAGACTCCTCTTGGCCTTCTAGGCCAGAATCTGAATTATTAGCAGCTTCTGTAAAAAGAGAATACATTTTCATTACATTGGCATGCTCACCACATATGTGTCAGTAGTTTACTTTGGTAGGCTGGTTGCCTTTTGGCTCAAGTTGATGGCTGTAGCTAAAATACCATAAAAAGTAAACTTAAATTCTCAATAGGTTTCCCTCTGATGAAAATCCATTCTCATAAGTGGAGCCTATGGACCTCTAAGATTTTTCGAAGTCTGGATACACTGAATGAATGGCAATAGAGAATATTAGAATATTGCTCCGGGAAGGAGAAAACCAGAGATAATTTGAGTGGTTATGTTCAGGCAACAAGGGTTTCAGACTCCCTTTGTCTCCAATGTTTTTTGGGGGAAAAAAGGGGAGAAGTTCCAACATTGAAAGTATTGAGAAGGAACTGAAAGATCAGCTGTGGGCAAGGAGAGTAAATAAAGGTCACAGCAATTTGTTATATATGAAACTGGAATCTAAAATGTCTTACCCAAAGAGATAAGAGATGCATGAATTCAGATTAATCTTGCTTTTGTTACTAAATGTAATGCAAGTATACTTTTAATTACTCTAAAAATTATGTGATTAAAAACTATATCCAAATGATAAAACCAACTAAAACAATAACTATATAGGCAAAAGGCTTTACACACTTTACCAAGTTAGATTAACAAATGGTAAATAATCAAATGAAAAAGTTCTCAGTATCTTTAGTGATCAAGGAAATGCAAATTAAGATCACAGTGAGAACCAAAACACACCTGCTATGATAGCTAAAAATTAAAAACACCACATGCTGGTGAGAATACAGAGCAACTGTAACTCTCATACATTGCTAATGGGACTACAAAATGGTACATCTGTGGAAAAAGGTTTCACAACTTCTTATGAAATTAAACATGCACCTACAGTTTGATGCAGAAATTCTACGCCTCAGTATTCATCCAAGAGAAATGAAAACATTTGCCTACAAAAAGCCAAGTACAAAACTGTTCACAGCAACTTTATTCACAATAAACAAAAATTGGAAACAATCTCAATGTCCATATGGAAAATGGATAAACTGTGGTATATCCATATAATAAAATACTACGCAATAAAAAAGAATAAAAATACGTGAGCCAGGTGCTAACTCCTGTAATCCCAGCACTTTGGGAGGCCCAGGTGAAAGGATCAATTGAGGCCAGGAGTTCAAGACCAGCCTAAACAATACAGTGAGACCCCCTCCATCTCTTGGGGAAAAAAAAAAAAAAGATAAAAGGGCTGAGAGGAAACAAAAAGTTGTAATGCACAGATGCATGACTGTGTTGTTGAAAATCTAAATGTATGTCCAGAAAAATATGAAGATTAACAGC